CCTACCAATCTGAAGTGGTCTGCCTCTCTCTTTGGTCTTTCCTTACCCTCCGTGTACTGGGGCCAGTTTCATATTTCACCCAGGAAGCTCTTGAGATTGTGAACCAACACCTGGGTGAACCAGATTTCACCCAGGAAGCTCCTCAGATTGTGAGCTCAACACCTTGCTGAGCCCAGTTCAGCAAAAATGCCTCCACCCTTTATACCTAACAAGTTCTGCTTAGTAATTTTCCATCCACCGACCCCCTCATTCTGCCCTTTAGCTATAAATCCCGAGCTGCCATTGTTGTATTTAGAGCTGAGTTCAATATCTCTCCCTTATTGCAGTAGTCTTGAATAAAGTCTTCCATGCCTGTTTAATTCTGTCTGGCAATTTTTCTTGGACAGATTCGCCTCTCAATGCCAGACTGTCACTGGGTCCCATTTTACAAACTGCCCATAATTAGAACAGCCGTGTCTTGGTTAACCTGAGATAGTTTCAGTGCACGCCTGACACAGGAGCATAAGCACTAATATTGTCTCCTTGCACCATCAAAAGTATTGTGGTTTGGCCAATAAATTATATGGTCACCCGCACACGATGTAAAATTTACTAACTAGACACCCTCAATGACAAGAGGACCTGTTGGACTTTAAAAATGGTGCTACAGCAATTACAAAGGACAAAAGAGAGCAGACTCATTAAATGAGAACACTTTTTAGTCCTGACTCCTGAGGCATTGTTACACCTGATTTATATTATTTTATGTCCAAATTAAAGTGTTCCTCCATAAATAAAAAATGATTATTTTCATCACTTCATCTCTCAAGCATGTTCACACATTGCCTTTATTATACCTCTACTTTGATCACTGCAGATGAGTCTGTCACAGCACTTTTACCGGGAATGTGACATGTATTCCGGAGCCAGAGGGAGGGAGATGGAGAGACAGAGACCAGAAAGCCAATGTGGAAAAACAGAAGAGATTGGGGAATCAATACTGCATTCTCTGGAGAAATTAAATTAAAGGACTGAAATGAATTTGCAAAACAATTATTGCACCTGACACCAGCTCTTGACAGGTGGGGACAAATCAAGACTGAGCTGTGCCTTCACCTGCTGTGGGGACAGGGCAGGGCAGGAGAGATCCCCCTAAAGCCTTTCATCAGAAACGCTCGGTGTCTTAATTGTCCTCTATCCTGAAGCCAAAGGAGAAAATCCCTCATCAAGGTGTGGTTGGCTGAGTGGTTTTGAGCAGTGAGTTTGTTAGCTACTTCCACTTAACTTGAAAATATCTACAAGAGGCCCTTACCCTGCAGAGTTGTCCCAGTCTCATGGAATGAGATGACAGCTCCTGACTCATTTAGCAGGATCTCAAGCAAGGGCGATGGATGCGGTGGAGGGTGGAGGGTGGAAGGAAAAGGGTTGTATCAGACAATCTTCAAGTTTTCTCTTACCAGAAAGTCTGAGCTTCTGCCCTCCAGTGGACTCTCAACATGGATTCGTTATTCCCATTTTATAGGTAGGAAGAGTCAAATGAGGAGAGAGCAAAATCTCTGAAGGGGAGCTGGATGGAGCATCTTGTCTTCAGCACTCAGTGTGGACCAGACAGTCGATTTAGGAAAAAAGGAACCAGGGCCATCAGAAGGATGCTCTACTAAAACCTTGCCGCACAGTATGATCCTGGCACTGCAGAATCACATCATGTGGGTGCTGGTTAGAAATGCAGAATCTCAGACCCCCACCCCAGATTTACTAAATCAGAATCTGCTTTTAACAAGACCCCTAGTGATTTACGTGCACTCTAGAGTTTGAGAAACACTGGCTGGAGTTGTGGGTTACACTGTGAATAGCAAGACTCTAAAAAAAAACTATGAATTCATTTAAAATTATGAATTAGCTTTTGACAGAGAATTCTGATGCTTTTATGGGATCAGGCCAGCTTTCCAAGCTCTGAAGCATCGTCTCCCATACCAGAATCCTCTACCAAATTATTAAATTTACTTTTTTACAATATGAGCTTAAATCTGATAAGAGTAATAGAAAAGGGATCTCCATCAATTTCAAGCTGAAGCTCAAGCTTCCCTGCTCTATCTCCCTCTCCCTTCTCCCCTCTCCCCCACTCCCTCTCCTCCCCCCTTTCTCTCTTTTTATTTCTCCTGGGTCTCTGGTACACAGATTTGTATTAATAATAATCTTGGATTCACAATACACTCTTAGCATTTTGTTTGTATTCAGAGAAGGACACTCGCCTTGTTTGGGTGGAGATTATAAATTATAGTTTGTTTGGTAGTTTGCTGGGTTTGCTTGTCCGTGCTTGCTCCTGAATCCTAATTCTGCATCAGCTACAAGTTTCTTTGCTTAAATAAGCAGGGAATCTCTTT